AAATTCTCGATTTTATTTTTTACATTTTTAACTTTATAATGCTATGACATATTGAAAAGTGTATGGATCAACATTATTTTTTTATGAGAAATAATATTTTTTAATAATCCCTTTTTCATTCTACATACTTTATCTTAATTAGGATATTAATAATGAACTAGCAGATCATGTAGCTTTTGGAATAGTCCACCAATTTTTTAAAATTAAACAGTATCTAAAGATTTGTATCGAAGCGTTTTTTTTTTATAGTGATTTTAATCACTGTCAGATATCATTATACTTGATCCATCTATACCACGTCACCACTGTGCCGCGACCCCCCTGTGCTGGGTTTTTTAAACCTTATATACATCAACAGCCTTTAGGTTAGAATACTGTTATTATCTGATAAAAAAAAAAATTTCCGAAAGATTATTAGTTTCTGTTGACAGAATACAAAGTTTCTGGGTGTACCATAGTTACTTAATTCATCCGACCAATCACAAGCAGATTCTGTTTAAAATTATTATTAGACTGGAGTTCAGCTGATCACATCACTTTAATAACGGATAATTGTTTATACAAATAACATTAAATGTATAAAATTTTATTAAATTTTTTGAAAATCAACTCAAAATTAATAATCCACGTGATGATTATAACAAGTTATGTTTGAAAGGTACACTGAAGGAAAACTGTTTTTAGATCTCCTGTAGCTTCCCATCGAGCTGTGTCGTAGTCGTCATCCAGCAGTTAATGCGGAAGTGCAATGTGACCACGTCATACTTCCTTCCAGTCCAACTGGTCGGTTAACCTCTCGGTCCAAAGTGACTGGTGTACAAGGACGCTTTCCAGATAGGCGAAATCCAACAGCAGGATGAGTGAAGTGGCGAGGATTATCTTGACGTCGGGCTTCACCTTCATCCTCTCCATGACATCCAGCTGTTGGAATGATATTTTCAGTGGTGAATCTATCCGGTCGTTTCCAAGGAAAACTACTAAACGATCACGGTAGTTTTAGGTCGGGAAGAAATCCACTTCTCTCTTCGCTTTCCACTACTATGACAGGGGGCTTGAACTGATTGTTTCGGACGGAAATGACCTGATCGTTCCCGGTATTGTGCCGACGATTTAGCCGACTTTGCTCTAACTGCTCTTGTGCCGGTTACCTTCGACGACGAGCACATGGAAGTGGTCGTGTCGGACCATCGCTCTGTCTCCGGTTTTCCCCTAGACGGATTCGCTTGGTCAAGCCGCAGTAGTGGTTGGGATCGCAACTCCCAGACTTCTGCCGTTCTAACTCAAGCCCGGCTCCAATTTGGCAGCTCCTTGTGAGTTTCTCCCAGTAACGCCACTGCTTGCCGCATAAGCAGTCTCGCCTGTTGCGCATCATCGCCGTAATTTCGGCGAGATGCATGGAACAGGTGGGCTACTCATTGATGATAAATGTACTGTAAATAGTAGTTATAATTTCTGATTGCATATTAATCTTAAAAATTTCATTTTTTTCTATTTAATAATGTCAGTTTTAAACTTGCAAGTTGAACTATAAGTTATGGTAACAAATTCATTTTTTTTTTATTAAAACTTTCACTTTAAACGACAAAAAAAAGTAGGTTCAAAATGATTACTTTTATCATATTAAATAATTAAAATCAATAATAATATGAAGACAAACTTTTTTTAAAATTATATAATATATAATTAAAAGAATTACTAATCTGGGTATAATTAAGGAAGTAGAAGTTGATGTTGCTTTTGTAATTATCCATCAATTTCTTAGAATTAAACACTATCTACAGATTTGCATCGAAGCGTTTCATATGATAGTGATTTTAACTAGTGAATTTAGTCACTTTTTTTTTTTTTGTTCTTTTATATACGATTTGAGTAATCTCTTTGGAGACTGGGAAGCAAGAAATAAGAGTGTAAATTCATATTTGATTAGTATAAAATTTGTGAAAGTTATAACCAAAAAATAATACACATAAACGAATGTATATTAGATACCGATTATCTAACAAACGGATATAGAAATCATAAAATAAATACCATTTTACATTTATCAAAAATCCCTTTATCATATATCATTTTTCTACCATTTCATTCCATTCAAATTCAAATTTCGAAAAATTCATTATTTTTAACTAACCTTAAATTAACCCACATAGCAATGAAATATTTCTAGAATATTTATTTTTGATATTAAAATATTTCTAGAATATAACCAGAATATATTGAAATATTCTCACAATGTTCTCAGAATATACTTTGGCAGCGAATATTACATTCTCACAATATTTTAAAGGTATATTTCTAAAATATTATAAAAAATATATTGTGACAATATTTTTAAAATGTTTTATAAATATATTAAAAAAATGCAAAAATTAGACCGCTACGCGGGATTCAAACCCTGTACTTCTAGCGTTTTGAACTCGTACGTGACCCATTGACCCACAGGTTGCTTCGATAGATCTAGGATAAAAAAGACTATTTAAGGTAGTTCAAATGGTTATTTGTCTGTTAAGTAATTTTTCTTGTTTAAAAAAATTCAAAGTAAATACAATTTTATATTCAATTTAGATTAGATTCATATAATTTTTTTGAAAATCGGCGATCCCATCACCATGATTTCTCCTTGTAAGTTAGAAACTGACTATTATTGTTGATAATATAGAAATATATTCTAACTATAATAAAAAAACTTTTTAGGATTTTTGGTTTCACAGGACAATAATAAGTTATAATTGCGCTGATAAAACTAAAAAAATTTTAACTCGATAGGCCTGCAAATAATAGCAACAAGGTTTTTTTTACTGTCCTTGACTTACTTAGCTTAATTGAATTAGGTTAATTAAAATTGATACTAATTAGAGAAAATGGCTGTTTACTTATTAAAGATTTAGGAATATGTATATATAATACATAAGTATTATATAACAAGATACCAATATCATCCAAAGATGTAACTAAAGGGAGAAAAGAGGATGGCTTGTGTCTCTTAAGTTACTTCAGTTGGCCAACAAGATATATATTTATAATATTAAAAAAATTATATTGATAATATATTCAACAAATATTTCAAGTTAAATATTCTATATTTATTTTAATTAATATATTTTCATAATATTTATAAGCAAATATTTAAAAAAATATTTTTCAAGCACATTGTAGAAATATTTTCGGTGTAATATACTGTATTTATTCTCTTTAATATATTATCAAAATATACATAAACAAATATTTAAAAAATTATATTGTGAGCATATTATGAAAATATTTCAATAGAATATATTTTTTATTATGTTTATGAGATATTGTCACAATATTTTATTCAAAATATTTTAAAAAGTATTTTGTAAGAATATTTTGACAATATTAATATATTGAAATTGCTATGTGGGAAGCTAGGCGTGAAAAATCTGGTATGTGCAAAAAATGTAAATTAAAAATGTTTTTCTCTGAATTAAAAAAATACGCAATAGCAGATTTTATTTTAGATTAAAAAATTTGAATACCAAACTGCTCATATAAGATTTAATTTAAGTTTATACTCACTATAATGCAAGTAAATTTAGTGCGTACGCCCACTTATTACATACATAAAATAAATGTATTATGTAAGGAGTATTCTATGTGTCATAAATATATTTGTAGTCAATCAAAAATTTGTAAAATGCTTTTTAATAACGCCAAGGCCTATTATTCGTGTTACAAAATTTTTAAAAAGCTGATACACGAGTCTTAAAACTCACAAAAAATAGTTTTAAGTGATACAATATACTACGTATAAATAAATTCAGGGTTGGTAAACTTTAATTTAATACTCAACATTTTTAGTAATTACCTTTATTTTTTTGGCAAATAATTAATTTTTGGAGAAAGAATATCTAATTTTAAATTACTAAAAAGACGGTTGATCCGTCATGCTGCCTATGAATATAATGTATACTGTGGACTCATATTCGTAAGAATGTTTTCTAATGTTACAAAATAAAACTCCACGTAAATTTCTGACAGATTTCCGATCAATAGATATTTTTATTATATTCGCATTATTATTTACGTGTACAAATGAACACAGTAAAGTTAAAATTTAAGTCCCATCACCTGTCAATAATAACAATTATTTTACAAATTCAGATAAGCGACTGCTAAATGGTGCCCCGGTTCGTCGATAACAAAGTATAAAAATAACTGGATCGTTGGCAAGGTAGCAGTTGAAGGGTGAGAGTAATCGGTTACCGTCATTCAACAAAAAATTCGTCAAATTATAAATGCCACTAGGGACCGACACATGTCGATAGACAAAAAATTCATTATTTTGCATAAAAACTGTTTTGTGCGGGACTACTTTATTTGATCTGTATCGATGCTAGAGTACCACATTTTTTACCAAATTATAAAGGAGAAAATTATCTGTGATCTAGCGTTTTTATAATTTTGATAACACAACTCTGAAGCTATTTATTAAACATTTAAAAAACCAAAAAAATAGGAATGTTTAATAGTAAATATAAAGTACTAGAAATTATGTTAACAAAAAAATAAAAACGCTAGATCACAGATAATTTTGTCCTCTATAATTTGGTAAAAAATTGGAAACTCTAGCATCAATACAGATCAAATGAAGTAGTCCCGCGCAAAACATGTTTAAACCCGTTTTTTATTCTCTGCATGGCGTCCTCTTAACAACTGTTTGGCCGCCGATCATTTGTAGCGCCACTTGTATACAACCGGTTAACGCGATCGAAATTGTTGCGCGTCGTGGCGTACGGCGAGTATGTGTTTGGCACCTATACTGAGACGATCCTATGACGGACTGTGAGTGCCTCAACTTGAGAGCCCACAACCCAGAGATCCGTGATCGTTAATTCAATATCAAAGGTGGATTTGGATGCCTATCCACGAGTTTATGGTGTCAAAAAACGTGTCTGGTCCTGGTCTACGAAGAACTGAAGTAACCAGGTTGCATATAAACCATTTAACTATAGTTGTGTACTAATGGTAGATTAATTTATGTATTGTGGTATTTAATAATAATAAAATTTACATTTGTGTTGTCAAAGAATATTGTTTCCTTTAGTTAAGTAAAAGCAAGTCGTGTCCATTTAGGCGAAAATACTGGGTGCCCCGACCAATAAGTGTATTTGAGTCGGTGGAATACCAACAACAAACACCAAAAGAGCTTCTTTTACTCAATATCATAAAAACATAACATAACTAACTAAATACTGACTAGACTTAGTGGTAACTGATGTATGAGTTGAAAATTAAGGTAACTAAAACTAACTAAATTATATTGAAGTAAAATTCACTAATGGTTAACCCTAAGTTTATCGTAGTGCTTATTTGTACAGGAAAACTATAAAAAATAAATTAAATTAAACTGTTTTAATAAAAAAGAACTGCTACTTATGAAGATTACTTATAAATACTATATATACTTATAAAGGATAAATAAATCAGAAAATAAAACTTAATTATGATCCCTTTGGTTTACTCTAGATTATTTAATCAAGCCTTACTATGGCTAGTGAATTCTTTGCCTAAAGCTAAAATATGATTGCTATAGATTAACTTTAATTAAATACTTTAAAATAACACGGTAAAAATAATAAAAATACTAATGACCATGGATTAATAAACACATATGATATACGGCTAAATGTTAAATTCAAACTAGCAATATACGGCCTCAACACCGCAATGGTTTGAATTGTGCAATGGATGTCATGAGTGCGTCACTTTCAGCTCAATGATGTCACGGTTTTCGATTGTACTACAACATCTCGGACTTCAACTGCTCAAGGAGTTACTGTTGTCGATTTCCTCAAGTTCTACTTGAGAATCGTGACATGACATTTTTTTTAAACTTAATGTTTTCCACCAATTATTTGCAGTACCATTTAATCGTGGTTCAATAGTTATGACATATCCATAATTATGAATTCATAACTGATTCAGAATGGGTTCTATATAATGGGTTATACCAAGGAAAACTCTCGGAATCTTCTTTAACTCCCAGTGAATCCTGGGAGGGAGAGCTATGCGGCATAGAGGTCATTGAACGTTATTAACGCCACTAACAGTTCTTAATTTACCGTCGGGGATATTTCATGTGAAGTTATACAACATGTTAACAACGTAACTACAGACTCGTCTAATTATGTGGTCATTAATTAATCAGGGTTCGGCCTCGTATACACGAAACGTTCTATAATTAACGCTGATGATAGGACTGTATTGGGTCCTCATTCTATTAGCACTGGTTGTTTATTTATTTTTAAGATTATCTAAAGAATATAATAATCAAAAACTTCATACGTAAAATATATATATAGATCTACAAATGTCAAATTGAAAGTTGACTACGATAATTCGAACTCAGAATGATCTTAGCTGAAAGGTTTTCGATGTTGCGTACCGTCAAAAAAACAATATTCGTTAGCACTTCTAAGATCATACGGTTGGCGTGTGTATGATGTTGATAGTTTGTTGTCAGGAAGAGTACTTACTTGTGGTATCACAACAAATTAACTACATGGTACTAGATAAACTTTATACTCTACTGGTTAAATTATATTTAATATTTAACTTCTATGTTTACTTTTATATTTTTCTTTTAAAAAACGTACTGTAGTCCGACAATATAGTGTTCGTCCAGTAGGTTGTTGACTATTTCATATTTTTTTTATAGCGCCATGAGTGTTACAAAAGTTTCCGCTGTGGCCAAAATTTGATTTAATAGTTTTATAACATTCAAGTGTTATAAATTGTAACATGACAAAATGTGAACCTTTATATCTATTAATTTCTTATGATATAGATAAATTTAATGTTTTGCTAAGCTAATGGACACGTGTACGTTGCATCCGGCTGTGTAATCAGAAAACTGTATTGTTGCTATCAAGGTGAACACTATACACACAATATTCTTTATCAATTTAATAATCGTTCCCCTTATGACACATACACTGGCCACCACTGTCAATACCTGTATTATTGTAATATTTTCTCATTATTTTTGTTTTTGTATTCTATAAATGTTAGACCGATACCCTTTCCTAACTTGTGATCGTTGTCGTTGGTGTGTAAAAAGTTGACGCTCTCTTCCCTATAAACCACCGAAGAGGTATTTTGCTAAGTGTATTGTATAAAAATTGAAGGTTCAAATTTTTTCTTGTTTTAATAATTGTTTTTTTTCTTTCTTATCCTTTAAAGTCATCACCTCTCAAAAGTAAGAAGGGTAGTTAGTACACTCAATAGCGTGGGGTAACAAAAAAATAAATAGATCATCAATTTCCATAAATTTCGAATGGGCTAGCTAGATTTTTAGGAATTGATTAATTAATAATTTTAAATATTAAGCCACAATCTATAAAAAGTACGGATAAAAATAATTTTGTATAACACAACCACCTTGATTGTACCTTTTAAACATTTTAACATAATTTTTTTTGTAAATTAGACTTAATATTCTAATTTCTAGATGAAATTATTAGACAAGTAACAATGAATTGTGCAGAACGTGGAATGATGCTGATTAATATTCGTGATGAAATTAACATGACCATTAACGCTTACCAAGAGCTTTATGAAAGTTCAATAGCATTTGGAATACGTAAAGCGTTATTGGTAAGAACAATGTTAACGAAACATCAACTTTATTTGCGAATAATAGTACACAATTTTATCTTATAGAGTGAACATAAAAAATTAGAGTTTGAAAGAAAAATTGAGAAACTCAAAGCTCAGAATGAAGAATTAGTAACCGAGCTGGCTCAAACTATTGAAGCTACGGCAAAAATAGAGAGAGATGCCACTGAAGCCCGGACTATAGAAATACAACGACAAACTGAAGAATTGAATACGTTAAAAAAGGCCAATCAATTGATAAAAGTAAAATGTTAATCAAAATAAATGTTATAAAAAATTTCTTATATAGTTACCATTATCTAAAAATTATAAGAAATCAATCATTTTAGCTTCGATGCGAAGCTGAGAAGGTATTAGTTTTACTAAGATGTGTTTTTTTTTTTTATGTCTTGCCACTTTTTCTCTGCTCTCACCGAACATATTTCTTTCAACGATACGCCAAAAGATCACAAATCGTATCTAGTCAAAGACATTACCCTCAAAAATTAAAAATAATTTCCCTCGTTCCCCGTTAATGGGAGAAACTCAAAAAAAATTGCACTAATACCGATCAGGCTGCGTAGTGTAATGTATGTAAATAGAATCACTGGTGGTAGGAGGGTTCGCCTGCGCAGCAATCAGTGATCTATGTAGTGAAAGATGTGTTAGTGTGTATATATGTAAGTGTGTACTATTAAACTAAATAAATAAATAATTTAAACCTGTTTACAATAATTAATTATATTTTCAATGAATAACTTGACTAGATAAATTTAGCTCTTTTGGCTCAACAAATAATATAATTATAAACACTGAAAAATCTAACAAAATAACAATAACAATACAACTTCAATAAATCAATAACAAATGAATATGACACTTCCAATAATAAATGACTCTCAACTCACTCTTTAAAGTAATTATAGTAATAAACAATATGTATAAAAATAACTCCAAGAATAATGGTGTAAAATTATGTAATTAATTAAAAGGACAATATAAAGAATAATAGTATAAAATTCAATAATAAGATGTAGTAATTAAATTAAACAAATTTGACTAGATAATAATTATTACTAAAATGACATTGAACAGATAACACAAAATTAAAGATAGTTTAATTATTTAATGATTTACCCACAATATAAAAAAACCCAGCACCGGGGGGACGCGGCACAGTGGTGACGTGGCATAGTTGGATCAAGTATAATGATATCTGACAGTGATTAAAATCACTATCAAAAATAAACGCTTCGATGCAAATCTTTAGATAGTGTTTAATTTTAAAAAATTGGTGGATTATTCCAAAAGCTTCATAAACTGCTAGTTCCTTATTAATATCCTGATTAAGATAAAGTATGTCGAATGAAAAAGGGATTATTATATAATAGTATTTCCCATAAAAAATTATATTGATCAATACACTTATCAATAAGTTATAGCTTTATAAAGTTAAAAATGTAAAAAATAAAATTGAGAATTTTCACACAATAATAGCATTTGATAGCCAATTTCAACCTGAAGACAAAATAAAGTCCGAAATTTTTTTTTTACATAATAAAGTAGATAACATTAGCTTTAATTTAATATATATAGAAAAGTGTCAGACTTTCCGGAACACTTTCAAAATTTAAGTTGAAAAAGTCAATTTTTTGTGAAAAAGTTGTCATTTTAAATCCCCCCCTGTAGGCAAGTAAAAAGTCAGATTTATAAAAAAATTATAAAAAATGATAGGTAAAGACATCATGCATCTACAAAAAAAAGAATTATATTGATCCATAGATCTTTCAAAAAGCTATAGCATTATAAAGTTAAAAATATAAAAAAGAATTTTTTTACAAAAATCGTATTTCTTTTATTAACTTTGATGTCTGTTTTCACCGTGAAGATAAGATAAAGTCCGAAATTTTTTATTTTCATGATAAAGCATATTACATTAGCTTTAATTTAAGATATATATAAAAATGTCAGACCTTCCGGAACATTTTCAAAATTTAAGTTAAAAAAATTAATTTTGTGTGAAAAAGTTGTCATTTTAAATTCCCCCTTGTGGGCAAGTAAAGGGTCACATATAAAAAAAATATACCAAATGAAAGGTAATGATATCATGCATCTATAAAAAAAATAATTATATTGATTCAGATATTTTTTAAAAAGTTATAGCAATTTTAAGTAAAAAAAATTGAAAAAAATTCGAAAATTAGCGATTTTTAAATTTGTAATTTTTTTGCAGGTTTCCCCCATTTACGGGGAACGAGGGAATTATTTTCAATTTTTGAGGGTAATGACTTCGACTAGATACGATTTGTGATCTTTTGACGTATCATTGAAAGAAATCGGTTGGGTGAGAGCTGAGAAAAAGTGGTAACAGACACAGAAAAAAAAAAAAAATAAACACATCTTAGTAAAACCAATACCTTCTCAGCTTCGCATCGAAGCTAAAACAACAAATAGCCGTGCGATAATGACTATTTTATACTCACAAGGTCCTTATGACCGTTGTGCGTTGGCCTTACGCCTACAATGAAATAAATAAACTTGTAATAACTAGTCTGTTCGATAAATCACAATCAATAATAACTGTAATGAGAATAAAGACTACACTAAATTACAAAGTGGAACACAAATCAACAATAGTACTCACAATTTGCAGAGCTGCTGGCCAGAGATGCTACCTAAAACTAAACACGGACCACAAGAATAACAAATGAACTTACTATTTAAAGACAATTTTTTGGTAACATAAAATTTTACTGCCACAATGAACTAAAACGATTAAACATGTAGCAATTAACTATCTCAGTAAAGATACAAGTTATCGAGCTAATCAGTAGCTGTACAATCAATGATCCTAGCAATTAGTGCGAAAGAGTAGAATAACAAAACTATATGAGTTTTTTTATAAACAAATTGTATATTATAACTAACAAAATTAAAATTATCAACAAACAAAACAAAAACGGATTATTGCACAATACAAAAAGTGATACTATACTATAAAAATTTGTGTGTGGTGTGTAACAGCTGATCGGCCGGTGATAGGGACGTCCATTACAAAGTTCATAGTAGGGAGTAGTCGCGTGATAACGATTAGACCGGTCCGAGTACACTTTAAGTTAACAACTGAAATGTTGTTAACAATGATATTAATAAGGAACTAGCTACATAAACTAGGAAGTTCATGTAGCTTTTGGAATAATACACCAATTTTTTAAAATGAAACATTATCTAAAGATTTGCATCGAAGCATTTTTTTTTTTATAGTGATTTTAATCACTGTCAGATATCATTATACTTGATCCTACTATGCCACGTCACCACTGTGCCGTGACCCCTCTGTGATGGGTTTTTAATTTTAAAATACCAAACAAACTGATTTAATATTCAATTAAATATAAAAGATCTATGAATTTTTTAGGTTCAACTGGAATCAATAATAGCACCAAAAAGACATAATTAAGTACACAAATAAAAAGTAACATTGCAGTCATTATAATTTATAATGCGTATATATGTATTATTTTCAATTATTTAACATAACATAACTCAATTCTGATTTTCATAATAAAATAATAATGAAATCGCTAGTTCTTATATTAAAAACATGTTTAACATGTTTAAAGTAATCTCTAACTTTTTTTAACATGCTTATATTAGTTTCACCTGTATGTGTTTGTAACACTCCACGCACCACGTGTTATTATTCTCGCGGATCCAATCGTTGTTTATGAGAATAGACTGTCATACCGCATTTACACCACCCCGCTCACCCAAGGACGATAACACTATTGCTCTATATTTTATTTTTGGTTTTCATACCTGTATACACCTGCATGACCAATAATATAGACAAATTTTTATTGTTTATTATTAGATTTGAGTTAATATACATGTATAATACATAATGGGTTATAAATACAAGTAGTCATTTGGTTTTTTATGACGATATTGGTCGCTGAGATTTTCCCTGTGCGGGAGAACCGATCAACCGGTCACGTGCGGGTGCAGCGACGGGGACACTAACGTGACGTCCACCACCTAGGTCGAGGAGTGACTCTCATACGTCGGGGTGGAGCCCCTGTTGGTCGACATCACCCCGAAGGCCGACATCAGGTCCAATAGGTCCTCTCCACGCTCGTTCGTGTCCTCCGACCCCAGACCGGTGAGTAGGTGTTGAAATCCCCAGCCACGAGCTCCCCGCTCTGTCGCGCAGCCGCCCGATCATCCTCGACCTAAGGCAGTCCTTTTTTTTTTTTTCCCAAGACCGGCTTAGTTGAACTATTGTTAGATATTACTTCAGGGCGGCCCTCGCCATCTCTCAAACCCACAACGTGGTGTGGCCTCTACCGTTACCAGGATCCCAGTGCACCACGTGGAAGCGATTATGCCACCGGAGCATAGTTATCCGCCTGAGCGCTAGCCGGTGCTCGGGTTCCAGGAACGGTTGCGTTCTCGGCGGAGCTCATGCCCGGCGGCGCGTTCCTCGGACAGCAGGTCGGCGGGCGGCAGTGACGACAGGATGCCCGCCACCACTCCAGACACCGTTCGGTACGCCAAAACTGTCTGGATCGCCGCCCGCCTCTGCACCCTGAGCAGGGCTTCACGGTTTTTGGACGAATACTCACGAGTATCCGCCCAAACCGGGGACCCGTACAGGAGGACTGAGTGTATGACGCTGACTAAAAGTATGCGCCGCATCTCTCTCGGCCCTCCCAGACTGGGCATGAGTCCCGCCAGGCAATTCCTGACTTTCTGGGCCCGTTCTGCCGCACGAGTAATGTGCAGCCTGAACTTTAGACGTTTGTCTATGACCAGGCCCAGATAAGTCATGGAGTCCTCAAGCGGGATCTCCACCCCCAGCATGGCGAGCCGTGGAGGAGTGAACTTGTACCTGCCCGTGAACAAGACCGTTTCGGTCTTCCGCGATTGTTCTACACCATCATTTGGTTAAACTTAAGGCTAACAACAGTAGGGTAAAATCGAAAAGATTGTGTATACAATTGCCGGACGCGAAAAATTTCATCGAGATTGATTCCGAATTGTAGAGGGGAGCCGTTTGGTTTTATCGGAAAAACGTGGAAAATTTCGCGAGCTATCGAGATTTTCTACGTATTGTTAAATCTGAGCTGGTTGCCAAACTCGGTGGAATCGCAGCTGTTCGGCCTATTAAATATAATCTCAAATTGGAGGCTTCCTACCATATACCGCGATCGGAAGCACCGCCCAAGGACTGTGCCTTCAAGACACGGACTAGGGTAATGTTGTCCGACACGGACATTGTAGGTGCGGTCAATGACGATTTCGAGATTATGCTCGCTGAGGAAAACGTGTACTCGGGTAGGGGTAGCGGATTCACGCTAGCGCATATCGACGGACTCATGCTCAGCGTATACAAGTATACGCCCCTCGCCGGCTCATCATATATTCCAGTCCCACCCGAAATTTTCCATAGAAGAGCAATCATCAACCCACAAAACATCGATCAGTCCTGTTTCAAGTGGGCCATTTTGGCGAGACACGTTGGGGTTATAAAAATAAGCGTGTTAATCAAAAATATTTTAACGAGGAACACAGGTATGATTTCACAGGATTGACGTTCCCCACACTTGTGTCCCAAATTAAAATATTTGAACGGCTTAACACTAACGTGTCCGTCAACGTGTACGGCTTGGAACGGGACGACGTTAAGATGAAGTGGTCGGTGTATCCGCTAAGAGTCGCCGACCAAGAACAACAAAATCATTTTGACCTGTTGTATATCGGTGACTCTGACAAGTATCATTACGCGTACATTTCAGACTTTTCGAGGCTCGTGCGCAGCCAAAAAACTAAACACAAATGTCACATATACACTTGCAGACGTTGCTTCACTAGCTTTGATGATCAACTTAAGAAACATATTATCCGAGGTCATCAAGCGTTGGAGCAACACAAGTTAATATGCGGCAAGAATCAACCAATTTTACCCGTTATGCCAGCAAAGGGTATTAAGGTCGCCTTTGACGCGTGGGTAAAGACGCAACGGTTACCGTTTGTCATTTACGCTGATTTTGAGGCCTTGCTGGAACAAACAGACAATCTTATAGGTGCCTATACTAAGACTGTGCACACACACCATCCCATGAGCTACGATTTCATGTTAAAAACATCGGAAGTTGTGCCCTCCGAGCTCCTCGAACTCTACGGTATACCGCAATCACCGGTGATATACCGTGGCTCTGAGGATCTCGAAGAGGTCGCCAAGGCATTCGTAATGGCTGTAACGGAAGTGACGCGCAACATTTCCAAATTGTTGCGTAAAACTAACGTTCCCATCCGAATGTCTGTCGATGATGTGCGCAGGCATGGGAAAAAAGTGCTATGCGACTTATGTCGCACAGCATTCAAGGATTCCAACCCCAAAGTCGCAGACCACTGCCATCTATCGGGCCGATTCAGACAGACGTTGTGCAATGCGTGTAACCTGAAAGTGAAGACTGTTAACTTTGTGCCGTGCTTCTTGCACAATCTTTCGGGTTACGACGACCAAAGGATTTCGGTCATACCGAATTCCGAGGAGAAGTATATTTCGGTCACGAAACACGTGACCAATAACTTCTCCATACAGTTCTTCGACACCTTCCGGTTCATGGCCTCCTCCCTGTCCACCTCGGCCGGTAACCTAATGACACCCGATTTCGTTAAATTCCGGGAGATGACCAAGGTGTTCCGCCCTGAAGATATGCCGTTGGTGACGCGTAAAGGCGTATACCCCTACGAGTACAATGATAGTTGGGCTAAATTGGACGAAACGATACAACCACCCCGCGACGCTTTCTATAGACAGTTGAATAAGTTGAATATCGATGACGACGACTATAGGCACGCCACAGAGGTGTATATATGAAGTGGACGTATCATATCCAGAAGAGCTGCATGACGAGCACAACGACTTGCCGTTCTTGCCTGGCAACGATGTACCACCGGGTTCCAAAGAGATCAAACTCATTTGAAACCCAAACAACAGTACGTCGTACACTATGTCAACTTGAAACAGGCGATTGCACACGGACTGCAAGTCGAAAAAGTATATACATCGTACCTAGAGCTATTAGCTATGATATTAATATGCTTGTCACACAGGTGCACCGCGTTTTAGAGTTTCAACAAAGTGCTTGGTTGAAACCTTACATTGAGTTGAACACTGAAATGCGGAAACAGGCGGCAAATGCTTTTGAAATAGCATTTTTCAAATTAATGAATAATGCCGTCTTTGGTAAGTGCACGCTCAATGCTAAAGCAGTTGTGGGTTATTCGATAAATATTTACATTTTATAGGGAAAACCATGGAGAACGTGCGGAAACGCATCCGCATTGAGCTAATCTCCAGTCCCGAACGTCTAAGCAAGCTCGTAAACCAACCAACCTTCAACGACTGTATCAAATACGGCGAAAGCTTGTGCGCCGTCATAATGGACACAAAGATTGACAAGTTTATCAAACCAATATACGTCGGTTTAGCAGTGCTTGACATTAGCATGTACAAGTACTTCTACGACGTATTAAAACCTCATTATGGTGACGCAATCAGCCTGGTTTACATGGATACTGGTGAGTACAACCGTACAGCAGAAATATTTTTACTATATTTATATATTTTTAATTTTTTCAGACTCCTTCATATACCTGCTCAGAGTCAGAGACATTTGCCAGGATTTAGCCGACAGTCCTGATTTACTAGTGCACGTGGACGCATCTAGCCTACCCAAGGAGCACCCTTGTTACTCGACCTCGAGGAAGAAGACGCCTGGTCTGTTTTCAGACGAGACCGGCGGCCTCACCCTTTCTGAGATCGCTGCACTTCGTTCAAAGTGCTATGCATTTGACATGGAAGGCAGCGAACTCATCAATTCTAAAAGGATCAGCGGACACGGCATCCGCAACCATCTGTCTTTGGACGATTACAAACGATGTTTGTTTGAAGACGATGCGTCAAAACGAGCGTTGTCCGGAGAGAATGCTCGTGTAGTCATCGGAGCCGTACGTGATGGTGAGATTGACGCGGTCGCATTGCACTTCCGGCTTTACCGCTGGATGGCGACTGCGACACAGCTACCTCTCCTCGTCCAACAGGTCGCGCGACGCCGAGCGACCGGTTCTCACCGCCCGTCGGTCACCGCGAATAGCGCGACCTGTCGGACGTGATGAGGAAGCGCCGCGATCGCCATTCGGTGGTAACACCGGAAATGAGATGCGACCGCGACAAGATTCCACCGACATTATCACTACCGTACACTCCATACCGGCAGAACGTGTCAATTCGTTCTTTTGAGCACGAAGTACATACTTTACGTAAATTCAAGTTGACGCTTAACCGTTTCGACGATAAGCGCTACACGCTCGACAACAGAGTTGACACGCTGGCTTACGGTCATTATGCCATTCCATCGGAAGAAATTTAAGCAACATTAGTTTTTATAG